CGGTTCGGAGAATTTTATTTTTCGGTTTGGTTCGGTTCGGTATTCGGGACAATTGAGACGGTTCGGTTTGGTATGGTTTGGTTCGGATCTTCGGAGATTTTTATTTTTTTAAATAATTTTTGAATGATTACCTAGTTATATTTCAATTTTTATATGCTTTAAAAAAAACAACATTCATCACTAATTCATCATATTGAAGATTTTATTTTGAAATCAATTCTAGAAGTAACTCTAAATTTTTGTTATTTAATTTTTATATGCTTTAATAAAACCAACATTCATCACTACTTCCTCACATTAAAGATTTTATTTTGAAATCAACTTTATAAGTAACTCTAAGTTTTAGTTATAACTAAAATTTGTGCAACTAATATTAAAAAATTAAAATTCAAATAAAGTATAATATTTTTTTCTTACAAAAATATTTTTTAAACTTTCATATTATTTTAAATAATTATTTTATAATAGAAAAAATTCAATTGTAGATTAAGTATTACTAAGAATGAAATTTAAGTGAATGTCAATATTTATTACTATATTATATAGAATCAAAGTTGACATAAAATATATTAGTAATACATTTAATGTTATAATTCGGTTCTTCGGTTCGGTACAGTACGGTACGGTTCGGTTCGGTTCTCGGTACGGATATTTGTGAAATCTCCATAACCGTACCAATTATTTTTTCGGTTCGGTTCGGTTCGGTTCGAAGAAAGTCAAACGGTCAACGGTTATTTTTCAGTTCGGAGTGATTTCGATTCGGTTTTCGGAACGATTCGAAATTCTCCAAGTCCCATGCTCAGCCCTAATGCTATTAAATCAATCATGTGAATAATATTTACATTTTCAACAACCAAAATTAACGACGCAAGAATTTAGTCAAATTTATTTTTGAGTTTGGTTACTCTTATCATGAATATCAAAAAAAAAAAAAAAAAAAAAAAAAAAAAAAAACTAAAGCTTTTAGAAGTGCACAACATTTTAATCATGATAGATTTTTAAAGATATTTATATAGTTTTTTAACCTTAAATAAAAACTAATATCCTATTTAAAATTTTTAAAAGTATTACGATGGTAATTTTAAAAAAAAAAATAAAAAAAAAATCTGCCAATAGAGCTTTAATTTCAAATGTCAAAAATATTTTTGATTTTATTTTATGGTAATTTTCATTCATTATGGAAAAAAGTTTATCTATTAATTTCAATACAAAAAAAGATACTCCATTCATATATATCACATCCGCAACATTCCATACCCATTGCAATTAGTATCACTTAGCTGCAACATTCCATATATAAACAGAAAACAGATATTCTCATTAATATCACTTTGTGCATATGGAATTAATACTATATAATATATTGTGTTTTACATGATTCATTCATTTTATTTATATATGGACGTATTTTTAACGAACATAAATAATGTATTATAGTAAACATATTTGCAAATTTTCATAAAAGACTACCAAACTATATAATTATTTTATTCGAAATAAGATTATATCATCTATATATATATATATATATATATATATATATTCGCATTTACTTGAAATGTAAACTAAAATCCCGCCTGAAAATTTTAAAATTTCTAAACTTGGTATTTTTTATTTTTGTTTTTAATAATTTCGTCTCTAGGAATTAATTAATCGATTTATGGTATAAAGTTGATAAAATTAATAAATCCGATTTTGGTATAAAGTGTGCGATTTTATTTTACGTATTTGATGGGCATTTTTTGTAGGAAATGTGTTGTTATAATTAGAGATGTTAAACGGTCCTTGGCCCGACGGGCTGGCCCGTTTAGCCCGGAAAAAAACAGGGTTAGGGCTTTTTATTGGTAGCCCGTTTAAATCAGGGCTTTTTAGGCCCGGACCGTTTAAACCGAAGCCCGTTAGGGCTAGCCCGAAACCCGCTAGGGCTGGCCCGTTTAACTTGAGTTGGGCATTGTAAATATTTGCAGCAAGTAAGTAATATACTCTTAGATTCATTGTATATTAAAATTTTGTTATTCCACTTCACATATAAGTATGAGCTGTAACGGATTATATTGATTTGGAAAGATAATTATTAACAATATTCTTATTGTACTCCACACCAAAATATTTAACTCAATCAGAACGACTAATAGGAAACAAATGAGACAAAGACCTAACACATGAAACATAGTGATAGAATTTATAGTGATATAATATCGTAAAAATTTCCAAAGCGTACAAAATATAAGTAGTGAAATGGTAATTGTAAGTAATAATTTGAATATTTTTTTCTTTTGAAAAAAAAAAAATTATTTAAGAGTTTGTAGTATGTGTTCATATATGATGTGTAGTTGTATATATAGAGCAGCAAATAATAAATACCGTTGAAAACAATCGTTAATTAGTCGTTGTAATTTTTTATAATTTTTTTCTTTTTATTTTTAATATTTTTTGATACATTATTATTAATACTATTATTAAAGCCCGTTTAGCCCGTTTAGCCCGAAGCCCGCTAGGGTTAGGGTTAGGTCCTTTTATTGGTAGCCCGTTTAAATCCGGGCTTTTTAGGCCCGGACCGTTTAGCCCGAAGCCCGCTAGGGCTAGCCCGTAACCGCTAGGGCTAGCCCGTTTAACATCTCTAGTTATAATAGATGTGCGATTTTACGGAATAAAGTGAACAATTTTATTTTGGTTTGAAATGTCCAAAATTAAACTTTATGAGTTTTATTTAGTATGGATAGAAGTTTGTTTTGTAATTTTGTAAACAAAATAAGTAGTATTAATTTATTTGGTATAAGTATAAAATTCAAATTTTAGGTTGATGTGTTATAGAATCAAAGTAATATTATTCTCAAGTTTTAACATATTCTCATAATAACTTGTTATAAGATATTAATGATAATTCGAAAAATTGGTGTGTATTCCACTTGAAAATCAGAAAAAAAAAAAAACCTTTGAACAAATATTGATTAATAAAATTTAAAATTTGTAATTTAATTTTAGAGAATTACTTGATACATTTAAACGATAAAATAACCGACAACAATTCTAAAAAACTACGATATATAAGAGAATTTATTGTATAGTCTAAATTTGGATACCAAATTTAAAAGTCAAATAAGTAAATATTCATAGCTCAAGGGCCTATATTAACATGGACACAAATGGAATAGTCGATTATTTATAAATTAATAAATTACTCAACTACTTAAATTTTTTTATCTGTATAGTTTATACAAAAATAAATTCATTTTATTTACTGAAACAATATAAGTTTTATAATTATACTTATTATTCACATATATTTTCAAATATATTATAAAAATTTACCAAAATATTTATTTTATGAAATCACATTATAGTCAAACTGAATTTCAAAATAAAAATTTTAAAATAACACTTATTTTGAAATGAATATAATATAATTTAGGGTCAAAATCTTTTTCACCCCATTATATATCTATTCTTTCTTTTTCACACCACCCCTTAAATTTCTTCTTTTACACCCCAAAATTCACGAAATGCTATGCGATATTACACTCGCATGTCCAAATGAACGAGCGCATATCCAATCGGCCGCATAATTTCTGACT